TGAACGGATACAGTGCTGTCTTCCTGAGTCTGCAGATTAAACAGAAGGGTGAGAGCTAAGGGAAGAGTCGGAAATGGCTCGGCTCATCTCCGCTAGGGGTTTAGCTCTAAAGCCTACGCAAGGTTCTTTGCTTAGGACTCATCCGCTGGGCCCCCTTGCTATTTTTTGCTGCAGGTACGAACATTCGGAGTGGGGGGATAACGCAGACCCTTGGACTTCGAACGGGGGAGGTACTGGAAAGGGAGGTTGGCCTGGCTGGGAGGAGACCTAGGTGGGCATGCTCTCTGAAACAGCAGCAAGCCATACGCCACCCCCTCTTGCAGAGCTTAAGACGGGATAGGCTGGGGCCGCACGATCCTGTTCCCAGCATCTCAATCTCAGAGGAACATTCTCGCCTCAGAGCCGGGGTGTGTGTGTGTGTGTGTGTTTCTATTCCTAGCTAAAGCAGCAAAATCCCTGGATATCGGTTTACCTGCAAAATTACTCACTGTTACACAGCCCGAGTGATCAAAACAATTTAATGTGGAAATTTAATGTAAAAAAAAAATGCATTCTAACCCCCACCGCATAAAATCTCACCACAGATATACAAATGTAAGAAGAGGCCAGGCCTTCAGGAGAGCCCTGCTGGATCAGACCAGTCATGGTCCGTCTAGTCCAGCATCCTGTTTCACACAGTGGCCAGCCAGTTCCTCTGGAGGGCCAACAACAGGGCTGAGAGGCCGAGGCCTTCCCCTGATAAGAACCTGAGAAGAGCCCTGCTGGATCAGACCAGGCGGGGTATAAATCCAATCTCCTCCTTCTCCTCCTCCTCCTCTTCTTCTTCTTTTGATGCCTGTTTATTCATAGATTGTGTGGCTTTCAGAGGAAGCTGATATTGGCATATTTTTTTCTTTATTTCATAAGAACATAAGAAGAGCCCTACTGGATCAGACCAGTGGTTCATCTAGCCTAGTATCCTGTCTCACACAGTAGCCACCCATTTCTCTGGACAGCCAATAAAAGAGCATAGAGGCTAAGGCCGTCCCCTGATGTTGCCTCCTGCTTCTGGGATTCAGAGGCTTAGTGCTTCTGAATGTGGAGGTTCCCCTCAGTCACCATAGCTAGTAGCCATTGATAGACTTATCCTCCATGATTCTGCTGAATCCTCTTTTAAAGCTGTTTATTCCAGTGACCATCACGACATCCTCTGGCTGTGAATTCCACATTTTAATCACTCTGTGTGTAAAGTAGTATTTCCTTTTGTCCTTTTTGTCCACTCTGAACCTACTGCCCATCAGTTTCACGGAATGCCCTCGAGTTCTCGCTCCGACCCCCTCATCATCTGGGTTGCCTTTCTCTGTGTTTTTTCCACCTCTGCAGTGTCCTCTTTGAGATACGGTGACCAGAACTGCACGCAGATAACCCTCCGCACACCTGAATGCCTCTTTAAAAGCCACCTGGGAACCTAATCTACACGTGGAGCGAAAATGAGGTGGGAGAGGAGGGACCGGGAGAGACCGTACCATTCCCGTCAAATGCCAGTGTGGTGTAGTGGCTAAAGTGTCAGGCTAGGACCTCAGGAACCCAGGTTCAAATCCCCAGTCTGCCCTGCAAGCTCGCTGGGGGACCTTGGCCAGTCACAGACTCTCAGCTAACCTACCTCACAGGTGGAGAGGGGTGAGCTGTGTTAGTTTGTCTGTAGCAGCAGAAAAGAGCAAGAGTCCGGCAGCACCTTCAAGACTAACAAAATGTGTGGCAGGGGATGAACTTTCGTGAGTCACTGCTCGCTTCCTCAGATACAGCTAGAATGAAAGTCCATCTGTCCTTATATCACAAGGTCGATGGATTCCCATTCTGTACGGCTAAATGTGGTGCCTCCCATGGAGATAGACCAAGTTGGGCGGCCGTGTCAGTCTCTCTGTAGCAGCAGAAAAGAGCAAGAGTCCAGGGGCACCGTCAAGACTAACAGAATCGGTGGCAGGGGAGGAGCTCCCGTGAGTCACTCCTCACTTCCTCAGATACAGCTGGAACGGGAGTCCATCTGTCCTTGTATCACAAGGTCGATGGATTCCCATTCTGTACGGCTAAATGTGGTGCCTCCCATGGAGATAGACCAAGTTGGGCGGCCGTGTCAGTCTCTCTGTAGCAGCAGAAAAGAGCAAGAGTCCAGGGGCACCGTCAAGACTAACAGAATCGGTGGCAGGGGAGGAGCTCCCGTGAGTCACTCCTCACTTCCTCAGATACAGCTGGAACGGGAGTCCATCTGTCCTTGTATCACAAGGTCGATGGATTCCCATTCTGTACGGCTAAAGGTGGTGCCTTCCAGGGAGATGGATCCAGACGGGCAGCCGTGTGAGTCTGTCTGCAGCAGCAGCAAAGAGCAAGAGTCCAGGAGCACCTTGAGGACTAACAGAATTTGTGGCACGGGACAATGGTCCCTCTAAGCTGTGGAGTCCTGTGAGCAAAAATTCTATTTTGCGAGCTGCCGGCATTAAAGTTGTGAGCGAGCCATTTGGCTGTGGCATCAATCAGTTTGCTCTGGAGCCCTCCCTTCCTGAGCTGAGACAAAAATGTGTGAGCCGGAGGCTAAAAATCTGTGAGCTGGCTCACAGTAACTCAGCTTAGAGGAAACACTGCCAGGGGAGTTAAGGTCTGAATTCACACACACACACACACACACACACACACAATACAGTATGGCATAGTGGTCAGAGGGCTGGACTAGGATCCGGGAGACCCAGGTTCGAATCCTGTCTTGCCATGGAAGCCTGTTGGTTTACCTTGGGCCAGTCACACACACACACACACGGCCTGGCCGCCCCCGAAGGGCTGTCGTGAAGATAAAACAGAGAAGAGGAGAACGATGTTAAGACTCTGCGGGTCCCCAGTGGGAAGAAAAGTGAGGTATAAATGAGCTAAACACACACGTCCATTCGTTCGTTAACGGGATGATGAATAAATGAAGCCAAATGAAGTTTTCAAGCATATCTGCTTCGACGGAAGACGACAGTACTACGGGACGCTTACCGGTGGTGATGTATTCGGCCACGAGTTCGGATTCCACCACGGCGATGGAGGGGCTTTCCGGAGAATGGCGCTTCTCCTGGGCCATCTGGATGGGGACGGCCATTTGGCTCAGGTCGATGGTCGGTTGCCGCGGCTTGGATTCCAGCTTCTCCTTCACTGCAAGGGAAAGCGGACGGAGCACGTCGTCAGGGCCAAAGACAGAAGAGGGCCCGGAACCATTTTACCTCTGCAGCGTGATTTAGGACACGGTTACGCCTCCCGTCTCCCAGGGAGCTCAACGAGGTGTACCTGCGAGGCAGGCCTGCCGGAGAGAGGGTGACTTGGCCCCAAGGTCACCCACGTTTCCTTCCTGGGTGTACAGGGAGTTGGAACGTGGGTGTCTGCGGCTGCTCATTTCCAAGCGTACGTTTCATGCGAGCTTAGAGATCATCCAGTGAAGCTGACGGGCAGTAGGTTCAGGACGGACCAAAGGAAGTACTTGTTTTACACAGAGAGGGGTTAAAATGTGGGATTTGCTACCAGAGGATGGAGTGATGGCCACGGGGATAAACAGCTTTCAAGGGGGATTAGAAAGATTCATGGAGGATGGGTCTATCAATGGATGCTAGCCATGGCGGCTGAGGGGAACCTCCACATTCAGAGGTACTAACCCTTTGGATCCCAGAGCCAGGAGGCACCATCAGGCGAAGGCCCCGGTCTGAGCCAGCAGAGCTCTTCTGAGGTTCTTATCAAGGGAAGGCCTCGGCCTCTCTGCCCTGTTGCTGGCCCTCCAGAGGAACTGGGTGGCCCCTGTGTGAGACAGGAGGCTGGACTAGATGGACCCTCACTGGTATGATCCAGCAGGGCTCTTCTGATGTTCTTATCAGGGGAAGGCCTCGGCCTCTCTGCCCTGCTGTTGGCCCTCCAGAGGAACCGGCTGGCCCCTGTGTGAGACAGGATGCTGGACTAGATGGACCCTCACTGGTCTGACCCAGCAGGGCTCTTCTGAGGTTCTAATCAGGGGAAGGCCTCGGCCTCTCTGCCCTGTTGTTGGCCCTCCAGAGGAACCGGCTGGCCCCTGTGTGAGACAGGATGCTGGACTAGATGGACCCTCACTGGTCTGACCCAGCAGGGCTCTTCTGAGGTTCTAATCAGGGGAAGGCCTCGGCCTCTCTGCCCTGTTGTTGGCCCTCCAGAGGAACTGGCTGGCCCCGTGTGAGACAGGATGCTGGGCTAGATGGACCATTGGTCTGATCCAGCAGGGCTCTTCTGATGTTCTTATGTTAGATCTCCCTCACTGAAGTCAGTAGGAATTAGGGAGACTTAACTTCGGCTGGATTGTACGCATTATGATTTGGGGTTGGGGATGATGGATTGGTTTGCATAATGTTCGGGGGG